CACTACAACCATCACCACCACCACCACAATCACTACCACCACCACCACCACCACCATCACCACCACCACCACAACCACCACCACAACCACCACCACAACCACAACCACCACCACCAACAGCAACAACAACAACAGCAACAACAACAACAGCAACAACAGCAAAAGCAACAACACACCACCACCACCAACAGCAGCACCACCAACAGCATCGGCACCGACAGCAGCAGCGGCAGCGACAACGGCAACGACAACGACAACGACGACAGCGACGACGACAGCGACAACGACAACAGCAACGACAAAAGCAACAAAAACAACAGCAACGACGACAGCAACAACGACAACAGCAACGAGGACAGCAACAACGACAATAGCAACGACAACAGCAACAACGACAATAGCAACGACAACAGCAACAACGACAACAGCAACAACGACAACAGCAACGACAACAGCAACAACGACAACAGCAACGGCGACGACAACGACAACGACGACAACAACGACGACGACGACAACAACGACGACGACAACGACAACGACGACGACAACGACAACGACGGCGACGACGACGACAACAACAACGACGACAACGACGACAACGACGACAGCGACAACGACGACGGCAACGGCGACGACAACGACAACGACAACGACGACAGAGACGACAACGACGACAACGACGACAACGACGACAACGACGACAGCGACGACAGCGACACAGCGACGACAACGACGACGACAGCGACGACGACAGCGACGACGACAGCAACGACGAGGATGAGGACACGACGACGACAACAACAACAACAACAACAACAACAACAACAACAACAACAACAACAACAACATTACCCGGGTTGGGAGTTCCAAAACATTGGATCGTTGACGTCGGCCGGCGAGGCCTCCAGGAACCTCGAATATTCGCTAAGAGTCGAGAAGACGGCGTCCACGGAAGTGGGCCCTGAGTGGTGATGTAACCCCACCCGGACCTTGTAGCCGTGCTCCATCAGCAGCCGGACCACGTGACCTCCGAGGAAGCCAGTGCCGCCGATGACGAGAACCACTGGCAAATCGGCAAGCCAGTCAGTCAATCGATTAGTCGAATAGTCGGTTAGTTGACCAGTCGATCAGTCAGTCACTACTCAGTCTGTTATTCAATTAGTCAGTCGTCACTAATCAGTCAGTTATTCAGTTAGTCAGTCAGTCACTAATCAGTCAGTCAGTCAGTCAGTCAGTCGGTCAGTCAGTCAGTCAGTCAGTCGGTCAGTCAGTCAGTCAGTCAGTCAGTCAGTCAGTCGGTCAGTCGGTCAGTCGGTCAGTCGGTCAGTCGGTCAGTGGGTCAGTCAGTCAGCCAGCCAGCCAGCCAGCCAGCCAGCCAGCCAGCAAATCAGTCAGTTATTCAGTCAGCCAGCTAGTCAGTCAGTTACTCAGTTAGTCAACCAGTCAGTCAGTCAGTTACTCAGTCAGTCAGTCACTAATCAGTCAGTTATTCAGTCAGTCAGTCAGTCACTAATCAGTCAGTTATTCAGTCAGTCAGTCACTAATCAGCCAGTTTTTCAGTTAGTCAGTCGTCACTAATCAGTCAGTTACTCAGTCAGTCAGTCACTAATCAGTCAGTTATTCAGTTAGTCAGTCAGTCACTAATCAGTCAGTTATTCAGTCAGTCAGTCAGTCAGTCACTAATCAGTCAGTTATTCAGTTAGTCAGTCGTCACTAATCAGACAGTTACTAGGTCAGTCACTAATCAGTCAGTCAGTCAGTCAGTCAGTCAGTCAGTCAGTCAGTCAGTCAGTCAGTCAGTCAGTCAGTCAGTTAGATGGAGACTTCATGAACATAGAGATGGATTTTTGGAGTTTTCAACAACTCTCTGCCTTATACCTGGCAAAGTCTTATCGGAGACGGATCTTAGACTGAAAGATCCTGTTTCTTAAGTAGACTCAGAGTGTTGAAATGGGTGTTAAATCCGTACAGGAATCAATAATTCTAATGGTATCATTTTTAGGGCTAAACTGTAATTAATGAAATTAACTGTCTCTGTCTCTCT